CTTGTATGATTACAATGATTGTTTTAATTTCCATACTGCTGATCAGTCTATTTAGATTTTCCAGTTCTTCTTGATTCAGTCTAGGAATGTTGTATTTTTGTAAGTACTGGTTCATTTTGTCTAGGTTATTAAATTTAGTGTTATATACTTTTTTATAGTATTCTTGTATGATCCTTTGTATGTGTGCAGTGTCTGACATAATTTCCCCTCTGTCATCCCTGATTTTATTTGTGTCCTTTCTCTTTTTGTTTAATGTGTTTAGCTAGGGATTTGTCAATTTTTTTTTTAACATTCTCAAGGAACTAGGTCTTTGTTGTATTTATTTTTTCTATTGTTTTTTTGTTTTGTTTTGTTTTGAATTTCATTTATTTCTGCTCCAATTTTGATTATTTCTTTCCTTCTGCTGAATTTTGGCTTCATTTGTTCTTCTTTTTCTAGTTTTCTAAGATGAAGTGTTAGGTTACTATTTGGGCTCATTCTCATTTTTGGAGATAGGCCTGTAATGATATTAACTTTCCTCTTATGATCGTTCTTGTCGTGTCCCAAAAGTTTTGATATGTTGTCCTATCATTATCATTCGTTTCTATGTATTTCTTGATATTTCTTTTTTATTTCTTTTCAGACCCAGTTATTCTTCAATAGTATGTTGTTTAATATCCACATATTTGGATATTAAACAACATACTTTCTTTTTACTGTTGATCTCCAGTTTCAAAGTGTTATGATCAGAGAATATGATTGGTATTATTTCAATCCTTTTGTATTTGTTGAGGCTATCTCTGTGTCCTAGGATGTGGTCAATCCTTGAGAATGTTCCATGTGCACTAGAGAAGAATGTATAAGCAGCTGTTTAGGGATGGAAGGCTCTGTAAATGTTAATTATGTCCAGTCGGTCTAATGTGTCATTTAAGGATGTTATTTCCTTATTGAATTTTGTTCGGATGATTGTCCACATCCAACAGTTGAGTATTTAGATCCCCTACTCTGATAGTGTTTTGGTCTGTTTTTCCCTTTAGTTCTGTTAGTAATTGCTTTCTATATTTTGGGGCTCCTGATTTGGAGTATAGATATTAATGAGTGTTTTGTGTTCTTGGTGCATGATTCTCTGTCCCTCAGTATCTTTTTTTACCTTTTTTTTAATTTGAAGTCAATTTCATCTGATATTAGTGCTGCTGCTCCTGCTTTTCTGTAAATGCTATTTATTTGAAATATTATTTTACACCATTTTACTTTGAGTCTATATTTGTCTTTAGAGCTGAAATGTGTCTCCCAGAGGCAGCATATGGTTGAGTTTTGTTTTTTGATTCATTCTGCAACTCCGTGCCTTTTTTATCAGTGAGTTCAGTCCATTTACATTTAGGGTGATTATTGAAATGTGAGGTCTTCTTAAAGTCATTTTTTCTTTTGCTTTCTGGTAGCTCGGTGTTTCCATTGCTTCCTTGTCCTTGTGTTTCTGTTTTCTTTATTTTGGTTGGCTTTTGTGGGTTTTCCCTCTGGTTCTTCTTGTTTTATGTTATCTACTTCAGTTCTGAATCTTTGGCGTGTGGTTGCCATTTTGAATATGTAAAGGATAGTTATATATATACAGTCGTCCATTTTCTTCTGCTCGTGTCTTATCTCCATTCCCCTTTGCCAATTTGGAACTTTGAATTCTTCCATTTTCAGTCATTGTTATCTCAATTTGTCCCTATGTATGCTGAACATTCATTACTATCTTGCTATAGCAATTCTCTTCTTATTGTTTAAGCTTATAATGCCCTCTTCTTAGTAAGGGTTGCACTCCTCTGTTTCTGTCTGCCTGCTAGTCACCTCACTCCTAATTATGTATTTGTTTTTGTCATTTTGTTTTAGGTGAGCTGACCCTTTTCAGTATTTCCTGTAGTGCAGACCTCGTAGTGGAGAATTCCCTTAATTTTTGTTTGTCTGAAAAGATCTTTATTTCTCCTTCATATCTAAAGGAGAGCTTAGCTGGATACATTATTCTATGCTGGTAGTTCCTTTCACTTAATAGTTTGAATATTTGATTCCACTCCTTTCAGCTTGTAAAGTTTGTACTGCAAAGTCCACTGATAATCTAATGGGTTTTCCTTTATAAGTTACCGTTTTCTTCTCAGTGGCTGCCCTGAGTATTCTGTTTTTGTCGTTAATTTTTGATCACTTTAATACAATGTGTCTTGGTGAATGCCTTTTGGGGTTGAGATAATTGGGTGTTCTGTTGTCTTCTTGAATTCCAAGCTCCAGCTCATTCCTTTGATTTGGGAATTCTCATCAACTATTTGTCTAAAATGCTTTCTACCCTCTGTTCCATTTACTCATCTTCAATAATGTCCTTTACTCTTATATTTCCTCTCCTGATGGTATCAGCTAGTTCTTGAATTTCTGTTTCATTATTTTTCATTCTTTGGTTTCTCTCTTCTTCCTTCTGATTTCTTTCTAGATTTCTGTCTTCGACATCACTGATCCTTTCCTCCATTTGGTCGACTCTATTTCCCAACCTTGCTATTTCGTTTTTCAACTCTTGCAGTGTGTTTTTTTTATCTCCAGAAGATTTATGCTATTCTTTTTGAGTGTTTCAATCTCCTTGCTCTGCTCATGTAGTTGTTTTTTTTTTTCAATTCCTGAAATTGTTGATATGAATCATTTGGTATCTCACTGAGTTTTTTCAGAAGTACCATTCTGAATTCTCCGTCATTTAAGTCACATATTTCTCTGTCTATAAGCTTATATTCTGGAGATTTTTCTCTTTTTTTCTGAGATGCTTTGTCATTTTGCTTGTTCATAGTGTTTAATTGACTATTTCTTCACCTGAGCATTAATAGAAGTGTATTCTGCTTTTTCCCAGAAACAAGATTTATTATATGCACATCTCTCTTCAGCCTGTTTTATAAAAAGGTGTTTTTCTCTTGGTTTCCAGCAGTTGGCATTATATAAAGTCTTAATAATGCCTTTTTTTTATTATAGATGTTCTGTCACACTTGTTACCCTCAGTCTCTGTCCCTGTCAGTGTTAGCAACAGTATTGGTAGTGTTTCCTCAGATTCCCCTGGGGCTGTGCAGATTTTGTTCTCTGAGGATATGGGTGGAGGGACCCTCTGTTTTGAGGAATGGGGGCTGCAACTCAGCCTCGTGTTTTGCAATCTGTCTGGTAATAATCAACTGTTATTCTCTGCCATCCCTGCTTGTCTGCCGTCCCCACTTCTCTGCTTTCTGCCCTGATACCTGGGCACTGCCACAAGCCGCAGTGGCGCTCACAGCTATCCCAGGCAGAGCTGTTCAGGGAAGTCGCTGCACCTTCTCCATCTCCACTCCTCCTGCAGGGAGCTCTGGCGGCGGCCAGAGGCAGCTTCTTTGTTTCTCCCAGTCCACCTCCCAACAACTGGTGTTCTGACCTGGCTTAGCTCTTATGCGCAGATCTCCCACTCATATGTGTTGGTGTGCACTTTGCCTGTTTTTAGTTGAGTTTTAGATGTTCAGCTTTAGATATTCAGCTTTTGTTATTTCAAGGGGAGAGATTTGGGGATGTCTTTCTCTCTGCTATGTTTCTGATGTCACTCAATGCAGACTGTTCTTATTTTATGAATTTAGAAGCACACATATTTCTCTTTGGTACAGGTCTCTCAAGTCAGGAACAGAACAACGAAATTGAGATTTATGATAAGACAACAGATCAGTCTTCAAACACAGATGCTGCTGAAAGTCAGGGCTACTTATGGTCAGCAGCATGTGGAAGACAACATGGAAGAAAAGGATCAAGTGCTTCAGAAAATAATGAGTGTGAACCCAGAGAAAGGAGCTCTAAACAATCCAGTCCAGTGTTTAGCTTCGGTGATACAGCTGATTCCACACCTGCTGATAACACTGCCAGGGATAGCCCTTTCTGGCACCTGTCCTTGGAAGAACAAGCCATGGAGGAGCCCATAGCTCCACAAGCAGCAACTGCTACTCCTCAGAAGTTGCTTTCAGATAAAAATGTCATGGAAAGAAGAAAGGCCAGTTTAGATTTTGAAGTCAGAGAAGCATCATCATCATATCCCATACCTGAAGACACAAAAGAGTCTATAGTTAGTGGTCTATCACCATGTCATGAAGATGGGGCTTCTGGAGCTGAGAAGACAAAAGCCAGAGCTAGTCTTTTACCAGTGGTGGAAAGCCCTCTTACAACCCAAGAAGATATCATGTTCTCAGTGGCAGTGGAGGCTCAGCTGCTTACGGATCCTTCTCATATTGAGTTAGAAGAGGAAGATGCTTCTAGCTTTGAGTCACAGGGAAGTGTCCCATTTAAAATGGAGTCACCTAGAGATATCCCAACCATCTGCAAAGAAAGCCCACCTGGAAATGTTCTCCAGACCTTTACAGCAAGCATTTCAGATATAGCAAGTGTCTTTTCAGGGGAAAGCATTTCTGCAGAGAGGCTGTCTCTCAGAAGCCTTTCCCAGTCCTCGAGGGAGACCAAAGCTGAAGAAGTTTTCTCAGATTCAGAGAGTGCTTCAGAGGAGGGCAGTGGTTCTGAGACTGCTTCCCAGTCTTTGGGAGAGCCTGAAGATGAAGTGTTGACAGAATCAAATAAAATAGTTATAAAGTACAATAGTGATGATGATTGGAGCAGCTCTGAAGAAGATCTGTCTTCTAGACACTCTTCCCTGGCCTTGGAGAAGCCCGAAGACCAGACCAAAGTTTCCTCTGTTTCAGAGAACACACCAGGGGCGTGGGGTGTTTCTGTGGAGCAGATTCCTCCCCGACACCTTTCTCAGTCCTTTGTGAGGCCATTTGTTCAGCAACAAGTCTCCTCAGGTTCAATGAGTGCTTCTGCAGAATGGGAGCTGATGCCTCCCAGGCATACTTTCCAGCCCTGGTTGAGCCCTAAATCAAAGCAGCAAGATTCTGCAGGTCGGGAGAGTGCTGCTCTTGAGTGGGGCATTTCTATGGAGCCATTGCCTCCCAGAATGACTGCTAAACGCCTGATGAGGCATAAAGTTGAGCAACCAATCTCCTCAGGTCCAGAAATTACTGCTGTTGAAGGGGCCACTTCTATGGAGCTACAGCCTCCAATACATCATTCTCAGCTCCTCATGAAACCAATAGCTGAGCAAGAAATCTCTGCAGGTCCAGAGAGCTCTGCAGCTAAGAGGAGCATTTCTATGGAACCACCACCTATGAGACACCCTTTCCAGCCATGTTTGAGCCCTAAACTCAAGCAAAAAGTTTCCTCATTTCCAGAGAACACAGCTGTTAAGGAGAGAGATTCCATGGTGCCTCTACTTTCTGAAGGTTTTGCCCAGCCCTTGATTAACCCAAAAGTTGAACAAAATGTGTTCTCAGGTTCAGAGGGTGCTGAGACAGCCTTTTCAGTGGAGCCACTGCTCCCTCAATGTTTTCCTCAATCCGTGACAAATGTTCAAGCCCAGCATAGCTTCTCAGAGAACGTTGCTGGTAATGAGGGCATTTTTGTGCAGATGCTGCCTCCAAAATATCTTTGCCAGCCCTTGGCAAGGCTTAAATTCCAGCCACGGTCCGATACCAGCAAGTCAGCAAGTGCTTCCACAGAATGGAGTAGTCCTATGGAGCCAGTGCCTTCTAGACATACCTTCCATCCCTGGGAGAGCCTCAGATTTGAACAACATGCCTCTTCAGATCCAGAGAGCACTGCTGTGGAGTGGGGCATTCCTATGGAGCCACTGCCACCCAGAAGGCCTTCTCGGCGCCCGAAGAGATCAGTTGTGAAGCAAGAACTCTTCTCAGGCTCAGTGAGTGCTCCAGCAGAATGGAGTGGCCCTATGAAGCCGATGCCTCCCAGACATGCCTTTCAGCCCTTGATGAGCCCTGCAAGTTCAGGGAGAGCTGTGCAACAAGCCTCTGGGCAACAAGCCTCTGCAAGTTCAGGGAGAGCTGTGGCTGAGAAGGGCAGTCCTATGGAGTGGATGCCTCCCAGACATGTCTTCCAGCCTTTGGTGAATCTTAAATCTGAGAAGCAAGCCTCTTCAAGTTCAGAGAGAGCTGTAGCTGAAAGGAGCAGTCCTATGGAGTGGATGCCTCCCAGACATGTCTTCCAGCCTTTGGTGAATCTTAAATCTGAGAAGCAAGCCTCTTCAAGTTCAGAGAGAGCTGTAGCTGAAAGGAGCAGTCCTATGGAGTGGATGCCTCCCAGACATGTCTTCCAGCCTTTGGTGAATCTTAAATCTGAGAAGCAAGCCTCTTCAAGTTCAGAGAGAGCTGTAGCTGAAAGGAGCAGTCCTATGGAGTGGATGCCTCCCAGACATGTCTTCCAGCCTTTGGTGAATCTTAAATCTGAGAAGCAAGCCTCTTCAAGTTCAGAGAGAGCTGTAGCTGAAAGGAGCAGTCCTATGGAGTGGATGCCTCCCAGACATGTCTTCCAGCCTTTGGTGAATCTTAAATCTGAGAAGCAAGCCTCTTCAAGTTCAGAGAGAGCTGTAGCTGAAAGGAGCAGTCCTATGGAGTGGATGCCTCCCAGACATGTCTTCCAGCCTTTGGTGAATCTTAAATCTGAGAAGCAAGCCTCTTCAAGTTCAGAGAGAGCTGTAGCTGAAAGGAGCAGTCCTATGGAGTGGATGCCTCCCAGACATGTCTTCCAGCCTTTGGTGAATCTTAAATCTGAGAAGCAAGCCTCTTCAAGTTCAGAGAGAGCTGTAGCTGAAAGGAGCAGTCCTATGGAGTGGATGCCTCCCAGACATGTCTTCCAGCCTTTGGTGAATCTTAAATCTGAGAAGCAAGCCTCTTCAAGTTCAGAGAGAGCTGTAGCTGAAAGGAGCAGTCCTATGGAGTGGATGCCTCCCAGACATGTCTTCCAGCCTTTGGTGAATCTTAAATCTGAGAAGCAAGCCTCTTCAAGTTCAGAGAGAGCTGTAGCTGAAAGGAGCAGTCCTATGGAGTGGATGCCTCCCAGACATGTCTTCCAGCCTTTGGTGAATCTTAACCTGAAGATGAAGTGTTGACAGAATCAAATAGTTATGTTGAAAAGTACAATAGTGATGATGATTGGAGCAGCTCTGAAGAAGATCTGTCTTCTAGACACTCTTCCCTGGCCTTGGAGAAGCCCGAAGACCAACAAGAAGTTTCCTCTGTTTCAGAGAACACACCAGGGGCGTGGGGTGTTTCTGTGGAGCAGATTCCTCCCCGACACCTTTCTCAGTCCTTTGTGAACAGAATCAAATAGTTATGTTGAAAAGTACAATAGTGATGATGATTGGAGCAGCTCTGAAGAAGATCTGTCTTCTAGACACTCTTCCCTGGCCTTGGAGAAGCCCGAAGACCAACAAGAAGTTTCCTCTGTTTCAGAGAACACACCAGGGGCGTGGGGTGTTTCTGTGGAGCAGATTCCTCCCCGACACCTTTCTCAGTCCTTTGTGAGGCCATTTGTTCAGCAACAAGTCTCCTCAGGTTCAATGAGTGCTTCTGCAGAATGGGAGCTGATGCCTCCCAGGCATACTTTCCAGCCCTGGTTGAGCCCTAAATCAAAGCAGCAAGATTCTGCAGGTCGGGAGAGTGCTGCTCTTGAGTGGGGCATTTCTATGGAGCCATTGCCTCCCAGAATGACTGCTAAACGCCTGATGAGGCATAAAGTTGAGCAACCAATCTCCTCAGGTCCAGAAATTACTGCTGTTGAAGGGGCCACTTCTATGGAGCTACAGCCTCCAATACATCATTCTCAGCTCCTCATGAAACCAATAGCTGAGCAAGAAATCTCTGCAGGTCCAGAGAGCTCTGCAGCTAAGAGGAGCATTTCTATGGAACCACCACCTATGAGACACCCTTTCCAGCCATGTTTGAGCCCTAAACTCAAGCAAAAAGTTTCCTCATTTCCAGAGAACACAGCTGTTAAGGAGAGAGATTCCATGGTGCCTCTACTTTCTGAAGGTTTTGCCCAGCCCTTGATTAACCCAAAAGTTGAACAAAATGTGTTCTCAGGTTCAGAGGGTGCTGAGACAGCCTTTTCAGTGGAGCCACTGCTCCCTCAATGTTTTCCTCAATCCGTGACAAATGTTCAAGCCCAGCATAGCTTCTCAGAGAACGTTGCTGGTAATGAGGGCATTTTTGTGCAGATGCTGCCTCCAAAATATCTTTGCCAGCCCTTGGCAAGGCTTAAATTCCAGCCACGGTCCGATACCAGCAAGTCAGCAAGTGCTTCCACAGAATGGAGTAGTCCTATGGAGCCAGTGCCTTCTAGACATACCTTCCATCCCTGGGAGAGCCTCAGATTTGAACAACATGCCTCTTCAGATCCAGAGAGCACTGCTGTGGAGTGGGGCATTCCTATGGAGCCACTGCCACCCAGAAGGCCTTCTCGGCGCCCGAAGAGATCAGTTGTGAAGCAAGAACTCTTCTCAGGCTCAGTGAGTGCTCCAGCAGAATGGAGTGGCCCTATGAAGCCGATGCCTCCCAGACATGCCTTTCAGCCCTTGATGAGCCCTGCAAGTTCAGGGAGAGCTGTGCAACAAGCCTCTGGGCAACAAGCCTCTGCAAGTTCAGGGAGAGCTGTGGCTGAGAAGGGCAGTCCTATGGAGTGGATGCCTCCCAGACATGTCTTCCAGCCTTTGGTGAATCTTAAATCTGAGAAGCAAGCCTCTTCAAGTTCAGAGAGAGCTGTAGCTGAAAGGAGCAGTCCTATGGAGTGGATGCCTCCCAGACATGTCTTCCAGCCTTTGGTGAGTCCTAAATCTGAGCAGCAAGCCTCTGCAAGTTCAGGGAGAGCTGTGGCTGAGAAGGGCAGTCCTATGGAGTGGATGCCTCCCAGAAATGCCTCCCAGCCCTGGGTGAGCCATAAATCTGAATGGCAAGCCTCTGCAAGTTCAAAGAGAGCTGTGGTTGAGAGGAGCAGTCCTATGGAGTGGATGCCTCCCAGACGTGTCTTCAAGCCTTTGGTGAGTCCTAAATCTGAGCAGCAAGCCTCTGCAAGTTCAGAGAGAGCTGTGGCTGAGAGCAGTCCTATGGAGCGGATGCCTCCCAGAATGCCTTCTAAGTCCCCAGTGAGACAAGTTGTGAAGCAGGAAGTCTTCTCAGGTTCAATGAGTGTTCCAGCAGAATGGAGCGGTCCTATGGAGCCAATGCCTCCCAGAAAGCCTTCTCAGCCCCAGATGAAACCAGTAGTTAAACAATCAATTTCTGCAGGTCCAAAGAATGTTGCCATTGAGGGGGACACGTCTGCAGACCTGCCGCCTCCCAGAAACTGGTCCATTGTGAGACATAAAGTCCAGCAAATGTCAAGTTTTGAGAGTGCTGCTGTCGAAGGGGGCATATATGAGAGGTCTTCCAAATATCCCACTCACTTATTAAGGAGGTCTAAAGTTCAGGAAATATCCTCATATCTAGAGAAGAATGCTGTTGAAGGAGGCACACCTAAGAAATTGCCGCTTCCCAGGCGTCCTTCCCAGTCATTCGTGAAGTTTATGGCACAGCAAATTTTTTCAGAGACCCCTGCTACTGAGGAACGGATTTATGTGGATCCTCTGTCTTCAAATCAACCTTCCAAATCTTTGTTGAGTCCTAAAGTTGAGCACCAAGTTTTCTCAGATTGGGAGAGAGCTGATATTGAGGGAGGCATTTCTTTGAAGCCGCTGCCTACAAAATGCCCTTTACAGTCCCTGGGTAGGCCTGAAGACCCACAAGAAGTTTTCTCACATTCAGAGAGTCCTCCTGTGAAGTGGATTAGTTCTCAAGAGCAGCTGCCTCCCAGATACCTTTCCCAGAAATTGGGGAAGCTTGAGAACCAGCAAAAAGTCTTATCAGTTTCTAAGAGCTCTCCTAAAGAATGGTGGTCCCAGGCTGAGGATGAGGCTGAATTCCAGCCACATATTTTCTCAACAGATTCAGCAAGTGTACCTGTAGGGCAGATCAGTGCTAAGGATGATCACCTGCCTCCCAGACACCCTTTTCAGGCCTTTCCAGACCCTGAATATCAGCAACAAGTTTATTCACGTTCCATGAATGCTCCTGCCAAGGGAAATGTTTTTGAGAGCAATTCTAGCAGCTGGTCACTACTAAGAGGTCCAGCTTCTCCAAATAAAACCAGGAAACATGGCCAGGACTCTGAAAACTTCATTAAGAATATCCCGACTCCTGCTACCAAACCTGTGAAGTTCACCACCTCTCCTGCCTGGCCAACATCCACTTCTGGGGAAAATAAGAAGGAGGTTCTTGAGGATAGTGATCGCGATAACAGCTATTCAAATTTATTCCCCAGTGGGGCTGATGTTGAAAACCGTTTTGGAGTCCGACTGAGAAGGATCCCTTCCTCACAGAAGCAGGAGAGTGAGAAACAAGACCATTTTACCAAGCTTCCTTCATTCTCCTTAAGCCCAGTTTCATCTTATGTGGGTAGAGAACCACAAATCAGAAGTGCTTCCCAGGGGCTCCTGGGCATCAGAGAGAACGTCACCACAATATCTGACTTTGCAGAGAAGCAACAGAACAAGACCAGGTCTGGCAGCATGGCCAAGAAGCAATCTGCTTACAAGATCCCAGGTGAGACTTTAACTTTCCAGATGGCAAGTAGGTACCAAGTGGAGGGAAGAACTGGAAATCAAAGTCTCAAATGGGAAGCAGTCTGTTCTAGCCCTGCCTGCTGAGTTGTCTCTCTGATAGGGCTCACTTGTGGATTTAGGGGAAAGATAGTTCCTTGTTCTAGATTAATGGATTTAGAGAGGGTTAATTTTGAGTCTTCTGTTTTCCAAGGGAGTCTCATCTGAACATCTATCCACATTCTGTAATGGACACATGCATGACCATCTCCTCATTTCCTCTTCCCACCCTCTGTACATTTTATATTTAGATAGAATTTATGCTTTTCTCAAGATACTTTTACATGTATTATGCTCCCCCCAATACCATGTGGATTTTTAAAGCCAACTCATTAATAGAGCACTATATTCAAACTCTTAGCTTAAAATCTTAATTTACTATAAATGTTTGTACTTCCATTGCTTCTTCACTCACCTGAAATGTCTAAGAATCCAGGGCCAGGTGATCTTTTGAGCACTAATCTCTCTCAAAGCCTTTGTACCTTCAGACTCACCATCACATACTCTTATATATGCCTATAACCACACCCATGTAACCACACACTTGCATGAAGGACTACGAAGTAACAAATACTATAAGATTTTCCTTGGAGTTAGAAGAATAACATTAATGGCCTGGGCCTCTGGCCTCTTAGGAACATTGCCAGCCCACCTGGCAACAATCGTCCTACCATGAGATAGGAAGAGAGATGGATAGAGAAGAAAAAGGACCAGTAAGAGGATAGTGCAAACTTTTGAAGTACAACTTCTTATCTACCCAAGGATCTCTCCTACCTTGCCAGGTTATAGGGAGGGCACAAAAAGTGGGCCCTTCTCTATGTGATATTTGTTTATTTTCATTTGGCAGTTAACAAAGATCCCTCTGGGGCATTACTGTGGGTAGGCCCCAGCCAAGCTCAAGACCCTGCCTGCCTTGCTTCTGTTCTAACTCCTTTTATTCTTTCCTCAGGAGAGGCTCCTATTCAACAATCAGATTATGCAACCTCAGAGCCAGCTTGGATAACCATGGTAAAGCAGAGGCAGAGGAATTTTCCGACCCACATTCCTATGAAAGAACCAAAACCCAATAATAGAGCTGAAACTAAGGCTGAGACTAAGAAGCCTACATATGAGGTAGGACCTGAGTCAGCCCAAAAAGCACTCCAAAAGGTTGCTGGGGCCAACCGTTTAAGCTTGCACTGGGAACCTTGCCAAGCATGCAGCTCCCTACTTCTTCGGTTGCATTAATAATGGCAGGGGGACTCTTCAGAGGAAAAAAACTTGATTTGTACTCAAGTGCACCCTGCTTTGTGCTCTTAAAGGATTTGTGAAAAGTAATAATTATGAGAAGATTCTGTAAATCAGATCCTATTCTAAATATTCTAGAGCAGGATTCCATGAAATTGGTTGAGAAATAAGGAGTAAGTCAAAAAACAAAAAAATAAAAAAACAAAAAAACAAAGGTAACCACTGGGATGAGAGTTAACTATTTTTACAGATATTTTATTCTTATAAGTATGTATATGTATTTAAGAAAATATAAATGGAATCTAACTATACATACTATTTTTCATTTAACATTTAATTTCTAGACACCTTTTCCTATCAGTACATAATGATTTAAAAAGGTAATTGATATTTGGGTTTCTACATATTGATTTGGTTTGGTGTGGCACCTTATTTTAGATTTTTTAATTTTAAAAGAAAAATTATGTGATGGACTAGGCTAATGGTACCACATGTGAATCAAGGATGATGGGATGATGTCTTGTCTCTAATGTCCCACTTGCAGTATCTTTGGAAAAGATGGAATGAGAACCCCTCATCAAAACTGCAGAAAACTGACTCAAGAAAACATCAAATTTACATATCAAGAGTTCCTATACTTTTAAGGGCTTAACTGAGTTTGTCTAGGGATTGCGTGAGAATCTTTTTAGCATTTTGCTTTAAAGGTCTTTTTCATTTTCATCATTAATATTTTTATAGGAGCAATATCATACAGGGGCAAAGTACACCTTGCTTTATTAAAGCTTTTGTTAGGAGAAAATACACTAGAGTGTATAAACTCATTAATTTAGATCAGTTGTGAAGAGGTTAATTTGAAAAGCTTAAATTGTACAATTTTGAAAAGGCCTATAGTACATTGTTTTCTAATGCAAGGAGTGCCAGTCAGATGTCAGCAAGTTTTGCTAATTAGAAATCCTGTCGAACTAACTTCAATTAGTTGATAAGATTTGTTTGTAACCACCACGTTCAGTTAGCTTGCTGTTAAGTGCTAGGGAAAACGTTGTACACAAGTTAAATAATTCTGTTAAGTTGTTTACACTATTTGTATGATTAGACAACCTTTTCTTCCACATGTGAAAGGTATTAAACTTGAACCAGCTTAGGTTTTGTGAACCTAAATTGTGAACCGAGGTGCTCTTAGTGCTATTTCTTTCTTTATCTTTCTCTATCTCTCTTTCCATTTGATTACTGTTGAACTCATAATACCCAGGACAGGGCTTATTATACGTTGTGATCTTCCAAATGAGTAATTTGCTATTTTCATGTTATGACTTACAAGATTCCTATTTTCATTTTTGTATTAAAGGGAGCTGAAAACCAACACAGAAAGATTTTCACTTCCAATGTCAATAGACAGGAGAAGATGGCACAGATGGACCTACCTAAGTCTACCAAAGCAGGTAAAAAGAGTCCTCCGCAACATCTTCCCACTGAAATAGCTGTGAAACTTTGGTAATTTCAAGTTCAGACAATATGTCTCTCCCCTTTTGCCCAAATCAGCTTAATAATTCTCTCAGGGCTCTACCATTAGATACAAATATTCGATTGTTTTAGAAAAATCTAATCATTATGACTACTATAAGTCCAGTGTGTAACTTTCAGAGTGGCTTCCAGTCTTTTACTACATCAAGGAAGATGTGTGGCACAAAGTTATGATCACTCACTAAAACATTCCTGTGGTATTCAAGAGGAAAGAATCAAGCTACTTTCCAGTTCATAGCAAAGTAGTATTTTCTCACCTTCTATATTCCCAATGAAACTGTTAAAAGTAATTCACTATAAAGGCTCAATGGTATTAACTTTTTAAAAAAACTATTTTAAAATCTTGTTCAGCCCCTCCACATTCTGAGCAGGGGTATAAGAGGCAGGGGGATGTTGAAAGCTGAAAAAACACTGTACTGGGAAAGAATGGAATGTGGTCTCATCAGCAAAATTATATGCCAGAACTAACTAACTATCTATCTATCTATCTATCTATCTATCTATCTATCTATCTATCATCTATCATCCGTCCATCCATCATCTATTTATATTTATTTATATATCTATCATTAATCTACCAGGAGCAGGAGGGGAGGATAGGTTTATAGTGAATCATCTTTGTCCTGTCCCTTAGTTCCCTTCATGAAGAAATTAGACTAGGTATTTAGGAACCCACTGTCTGGCCATGAAATAGCAGCACCTAACCTGTTCATAGCTATAAATAGTTTCATCAGCACTATATCCTATCAAGTGGCTCTCAACTCATTGTGCATTAGAATCATGTGGTAAGCATTTAAAAATTACAGATAAATCTGGCTCCATTGCTAGAGGTCCTAATTCAGTCAGTTCAGGAAATGTCATGGACATTGGTATTTTCTAAAAAGAGCTCTAAGGGGATTGAAAGAAAACATGGTGGAGTGAGAGACATCCCCAGATCTCTCCCCTTGAAACAACAATAAGCTTAATATCCAAAACTCAATAAAAAAAAAAACACCCAAACTGCACACTAGCACGCCTGAGCGTGGGATCTGTGCATAGGAGCTACCACAGGTCAGAACCCTGGGTGTCAGCCGATGGACTGGGAGCAATAAAGAAATTGCCTCTTGCAGCCTTCAGAGCTCCCTGCAGGAAGAGGGAGAAGGGAGAAGATGCGGCGAGTTCTCTAAACAGCCCTGCCAGGCAGAGTTTGTGAGTTCCATGCAGCCAGCAGCAGGGCCCAGTCATCAGGGCAGAAAGCAGGGAAGTGGACAACAGAGAAACAGTAGTTGATTTTTACCGACCGTGGTTGCAACACCGAGGCTGAGCCGCAACCCCAACCCCCAACCCCGCAACCCCTCCTCCCATACCCTCTGGACCAATCACTGTGGAACCCCAGGGAAATCTGAGCAAACCCTGCTGAGACTGTTGCTTACACTGACAGGGTCTGAAACTGAAGGTAACGAGCATGATTAAATATCTACAAGAAAATAAAGGCATTATATAAAGGCATTATTAAGGCTTTATATGAAGCAGGGATCCAAGAGGCTTAGACGCCACCTACTGGAAACCAAAAGAAAAGTGCCTTCTTTGCAGCAGGCTAACGAGATACCTTTATA